GGCTGGAGTTTCTCTCACTAGAATTTTTGGCAGAGCTTCGCTAAGACAACTGATCGCACAAGAGGAAATGGCTCTGGCCTTGGGGTATTTATAAGCGCTGGAATCCGGGCTTGGGCCTGGATTCCGGGCTTCCGGATGGACCGCCATCATTACACACCGCGTCTTCACCCAACCAGCGATGCCGCCCACGGACAGCCAGCCATCACACGCCACGTGTGCCCCCCCAACGGCTATATCCTGTCGTTACATATTCCAACGGCTATATTTCCAACGGCTATATTCTGGAAGCCCCCGGGTTTTCTACTTCACTCCTCTTCGTCAAGGAGAGCCTCCGGGTACACTTACCCAGAGATGCCCCCGGGTTGTGCCCCACACAGCACATAACAGACGCCTTCGGGATCACTCCTTCAGAAACCCAGGGCTTCATATCAGGGCACCCCTCGGGGATTCCCCCTCAGCACTGCAAACCGGGTAGCCCCCGGGGAGTTGCCTCATTGACGGATAACCCATGGCACACAGGTAATGGGAGCCCTCAGGTATCTTCATCACCAACTAATCGACAAACGGTGGACCCCCCGGTAACAACTCCACCGCTGCCCTCATCCAGCGGGCCCTCGATCCCCAGATTGAGGGGCTCCCCTTCGGCGCCCCCAGGGCATCAACAGCAAGCCTTCGGCCAATCAACACATGAGCCCTCAGAAGAAAGATAGCCTTCGGCATTACCGATATTCTCCACTTTTGACCAAGGTTTGACATTTTCGATTCATCATTGGGGGAATTCGGTGCACTCTTTTTTCCTCATTAGGATTTTTCCCCCAGGGTTTTTCCTAATGAGGTTTTTAACGAGGCATCCCCCCAAAATGAAACGAAAAGCGTCAGCCTTCGGCCCACAACAGCAACGCGACTACTATACTCCTTTTCACCACTTTACAAGTGCCTCAAGGAGTGGGGGACTGGAGGACCCCCTCGGGAAAATCATTAAATTACAAAATTAGTGAAATTCCAACAAACGACAAAGCAAGCCCTCAAGTCCCGACATGTGGGTAACTGAGGGATTTCCTTCGGCAGGGACATAAAAGCAACAACTCCTCACCAACTTCAGAGGTTACGACAGGACAACGTCAAAGGGCAAGCACAAATTACTCCTTTTCCCTCAAGTACCTTTCGGCAAAAGGAGTGAGGGACTCCTGATGGAGTATATGGCCCGGGAACCCCCGGCCCACAGACTCCTACTACTCTAGCGAAGGCCCAGAAGGCCCAACAAGCCCAAATCACAGCGCCCAGAGTACCAAGCAGCCCGCACTACGCGCCAGGGGTGCCTTCGGCCCCCTGGCCGAAGGCTCTAAACTCTCACAAAACGGGTTTCTCGAGCAAATTAAGAAACTGGGAGAAAACGGCGAAAACAGTAGCCCTCGGCACTGTGAGCCCTCGGCACCAGGGTGCCATCGGTTGGAGGAGCCCTCGGCTACTGCTCTATAGCCGAAGGCATCTCACTCGACAAGATATCCGCCTCACATGCGTACAGATCGCCGTACCCTGCACAGATGTCCCATCCAACAGCCGCATTAAATGCGGCCACATGCGGCTGCCAGCGCCAACCAGTTGAGGTGACCCCTCGGCCAATGAGCGCTTGACACGTGTCCCTGTCCGGCATTTATTGCTACTATAAATAGCACTCCATTTCCTCATTTGTAACCACGCTGAAAACGACATTCATACTGAATACACTCTCTCTCTACATTTACTTACTTACTCTGACTTCTCTCTAAGTTATTCCCCGCAATAACCCCTCGGATATATACCCCCGGGTAGACTATCCATCAATGTACTTCTAAAATGCACACATCATCTTATTAAAATGCACTTATATTCTCACTAAAATGCAATATACAAACTTCTAAGATTCACATGTCATAATGATAAAATACAACACATGAATTTTGAAAACGCAGAAGCCAGTATGATAAGATGCAGTATGAACTATTAAAGTGCACATATCATTTTACTAAATTTCAATACACAAACTTTTAAAATGCACATGTCATAACGATAAAATGCAAATTCGTATAATGTTACATGTTTCTCTTATATTGTGCATAATGTGACACCATGAAATCTGTATGCATGTCAATTGAGTTTACAATGCAAATGTCATAACGATAAGATGCAACAAATTGTCTTCTATGATGCACATAGAAACGTACTACTAAAATCCAATACATGAAATTGGAAAATGCACGTGTCATAGTGATAAAATGCGTGCAACATATAAAGTATTAAAATGCAGATGCCATAACAGGAAAATGTAGTATGAACTTCCAAAGTACACATATCATCATACTACAATGTAATATGTGAACTCATAGAATGCACATGATATAGTGATAAGATGCAACATGTGAAACACTAAAATGCAACGTCGATATATTTTATCACTGTGTAGTTCTAATATAAGTTATGGAGACATTAAAAATATGAAATGCATATCCCGTCACCTTAATGTGCACATCTCGTAACCTTAATATGCACATCTTTTAACCTTGATATGCAAATCTCGTAATCTTATATGCAAAAACTTCTACTAGTGTTTACTTCATTTAGAGAGCTCTCCAATTTACCATCTATAAGTTTCGAAAATTTCAAGGTTCATAACGGAGTGTCTGAATCCGTAATCAAGAGATTAATTTTATAAATTCTATCATGTCTTCTTGTAGTGAAGCCCTATTTGAATTGATAATCCAACCTTCTTTGTTGGACAAAATCTCACCTTAATATGTATAAAGAGATTCAACTTCATCCTCCAATTCTCACTAATCACATGAACCTTTTTAAATTTGCTAAAAATGAGGTGTAAATATTATTAGTAGTGTGTTACCTTCATTGATAGGATGTTAGTGGCGGGTTACATTAATTAGTTTACATTAGTGGTGATTTGTTTACATATTATTCTCATATCAATGTGGCAATTCCGTTTTTAAAAATGTCAAATGACATTGGTAACCTTCCCCCACTAACCGCTGCAATTTAATAGCCGGTACGATTTACATTCTCTGCATCTCAACACACGCTCCATTATTGTGGATGTATTTTATCCGCTCTTGATTTTGTATATTTGGACGAGTGTGATGAGATTGTAGTTTGCACCGGAAGAGGAGTTTGTATGCGATCCCCCCCATATATACATATAATTCACCACACTTGTCTTCACATTACCAAATACAATCATGTTTCCAAAAAAGACACATTTATATAAAAACTACACTAACACGTACTCAACTCATCATACGTGTAGTAAAACACATTTGTAAACACTTGCATGTGAATACAAACATTTGTTCTACGTACACAAACATTTAAAGTTGTCTGGCCACACACACATTTTATGTAGGACTCTACCAACTCTGAAACCATGTTCAGTTGAAACCAAACTATGAAACCACATTCAGCTTATGCTAGACAGACGTTGCACTTGAAAGTTGTCTGTCAGGCCAACAAAATACCAACAAACGAGGAAAAAACGACATACTCTTCTCCAAGACTTCAACGTCCACACCTTCATCCTCTTCTTCCCGTGACACCGCATTCACTTCAACAACAACCGGAGATGGCAGATTACCACCGTCACCCACGTTATCAACCTTGTCACCGTCATCTCCCCATGTCAAGCCATCCAAACGCACCTCATCACTAAAGTCAGATATATCCTTCCCCATGATATCCATCGAAGAAGATGAAGGAGCGAAGCAAATGGGATAATGGGTTGTGCACTGTAGCAACTGCGAAGGATGCTCTACTTTTTGGCAGAAAAGAATAGAGTAGGTAGAGGAGAGAAGTGAGAGTGAGATATTTTTGGAAAGAGGGTAAAAACATGGTAAAAAGGGAGGGTTTTATATGGGGTACAATTTGGGGTAAAGTTGAGATAAATGTAGCAAAATTGTTTTCTTTATAAAAGGGTATATTGTTACTATCCTAAAATATTAAATCAAATTTTATTTTTTTACGGAGCATTCCAACTTTAACCTTTTATTTTAATCACTTTTATTTCAATCCACTATTTATTTTTATTACAAAACACTTTTTTCAAAACCACTCTAAAAAACAATTTTTTTTTAAAAGAAGCAAACCCACTCCTGAAATCAAGTATTTTATGACATTATTCAACTACATTGATTCGGTTATTCCGATTGCGGTCTGGTCAGCATCAACCCGACCCTCGATAGGCGGCACTAGGCATGACAACGGGTCTGGGCGGGGCGGGTAATGCAAGACCCGAACCTGCCCCATGACTTCACTTGGTGGATCCACCCTACCGCGTGACCTGCACGAGTCCAAACTTGCTGACCCATGACCCGCTCCGCCTCACCCCACCGAAACCTAATTAGCTAATATGAGTTCCTATTTGTATGAAGTTGTTACCACTCGAGTCTACGTAAAAGTTATCTTTAAATAATTATTAAAAAAACATTAAATCAAAACCACAATACGCTAAAAATTTCAAAAATTAAGAAAAAGTACTTGGACTTGAATAGTTAATCTATTGTTTTTAGTAATTGTATAAATAAATTAAATGTTATATATGAAAAAGACATTGATAATTCGTCATTCATCTCATTCAAATATAAATATTAATACGTAGTATATTATAAGACTAAATAATTTATAATTTATTATACACACACATGTGTATGTAGAAATATATTTATAGTATAATTTTTAAAAAAGTACGTATAATTATATATTAATCGGGTCGGGTCGAGATAACAGGAGTCAATAATAAGATATGGATTCGCCCATTGTATGAACGGGGCGGAGCGTACCCATCCAAATTTACAAAACGGGGCGGAACAACCTCACTCCAAATGTCTCGTGCTAGGGCGAGTGATTGGGGGGTCGTTTTTTTATATGCCTAGTCGGCACTACGTATAAGTCTATAAGATTAAGGAGCCAATCTTAAACCGTTCAACAATCAAAGTGACATTCTAATCCAACGGCGGTTGACACGAACTACAAAGATTCCAACGCATCAATCCGCGCGAATTCGTCAATAAACCTCCGCGCGAATTCGTCGATAAACCACCGCGCGAAGAACCGCTTTTCCCATTTTTCATTCCGCGCCGTTCCAATTTTTCAATTTTGGCATTAGATTTTCCCTCCTTTTCTATGCTCTTCTCATCCCCTTCTTAACCAGCAAACCCTTCCATGGAACCCTCTCATCGGCTGCCAATTGCGAAGTAATACTACTGCTACTACTAGAGATACTATCTATACTAGTGGAAATGGCCGGCGGCGGAGCATCTGGAAAGTCTTCTAACGCACCCAGAGTGAGGAAGAGGGTTGAGGTCGATTCCAATGAATCTTCTTCCTCTAACCACAGCCTCAAACGCGCCAAGAATGGCAGTGCCTTTACTCGTTGGTAAGCACATCCACCATTGGTATCATCTCACCTCGAACGAGTTTCTTGATCAAACTCGTATTTTGTGTGGGTGATGGTTTTGCGTTTTTACAACTGTGGATATGGCAGCGCTAGATCTACTTTATGTTAGGCGTTCAAAAGCGAAGGTTTTGGGTTGATTAAGTATGTTCAATTGTGTGGGTGATGGTTTTGCGTTACTACAACTGTGGTGTATTATCTAATAGAGTATGGAGGAAAACGAATCGCTCGTTTGTGTGTACCACTTAACTTGTTTTCACAATGAAATGAAGATATAATGTTCATGAATTGGGAACTTTTGTTGAAAAAGAAACTTTAATGTATTTGATTGCTTGATTTGTTTTACAATTATTTCCGGAATATTAATATTTTGTGCTTTTCTTTAGTTTTTGATGGCTTTGAGTTTAATACCTATCTATACCTTCTGAGTGTTCAGGTCGAGTTGTGTTAAGATATTTGTTCTTTTGCAGTGAAGAATGCAACAAGGATGTACCTGTAGCTTTGATTAGTTTCCACAACTGTAGCCTTGATGCCCAGATCAAGATGAATTTGGGTAAAACTATTTATATTTTATGACCTCTAAATCTATTTATTTTAGTCACTGTATCCATCATATGCGCTGTTAAAACGGCTTTATATGCGTTGCCTGAATTTCCTTTTATCATGTTGTGAATATGCTTTTTCCTATAATGTTGAACCTGCTTCTAATAAAAGTATTTCGGGTTGCAGAAGCTCACGTAATTGAGATGCCTGCTGAGGTCAAGAAAAAGCCATCTACAAGGTACATTCTTTGTTTGGAATTGCTTGATGGTGTTATACCAAGTTTGATCTGATCATGATATGTTTCTGGGCTTTTTTTTCACCTTGTTTAACTTGTGTGCAATGCAGGAAAAAATCAAGTTCAGCTGAGACAAAGACCAAAAAGTCCAAGGATCCTAATGCACCAAAGCGCCCTCCCACTGCCTTCTTTGTTTTCATGTAATATTCTCTCTTTTGCATTTTATCACTCAAAGCTTATGTGTGTTTTGTTATCTGAATTGCAGCTTTAAAGTAGTAATGACATTTAATGAATTTACAGGCAAGATTTTAGGAAGACATTTAAGGAAGAGAATCCTGATAATAAGAGGTCCTCCATGGTACGAGAATGGCTATGTATTTTACTATTCTGGTGAATCGTGTATGTGTTAATTTTGTGTTGGTTTCTGTTTGTTAAACTTTCACACTGTAAATTTAGGTTGCCAAAGAGGGTGGCGAGAAATGGAAATCATTGACAGATGATGTAAGTTTTCACTGACAAAGTTGTCTTGTCTTTCCTATATATGTGCTCTTTCTCAAAAGTGTTTATTTTGGCAATCCATGTATTGTGCAGGAGAAGAAACCATATATTGAAAGAGCTGCTGAGCTCAAAGCAGAATATGAGAAGCTCCTTGAAGCTCACAATGCTGCTGAACATGAAGATGTATGTTGTTGACCTCTACATTGCTTCTGTAGTTTTTAATCAATGCATACTGCTTCTTTATCAGTTCTGTGCTAGTCTGTTAGCTGACATTTTCACATGTCTGCGCCATCTATATAGGTTGGAGAAGAATCTGATAAGGAGGTGAAGGAGACTGAAGTGGAAGAGATTGAAGAGGAGGAAGACTAGTGCATTTGCCATTGCTTTTGTAGTTGCATGTTCTTCAGCATTGTTTTCAATGTCATTACTACTTTAAAGCTGCAATTCAAATATTTTCCTACGTTCGGACAAAAACATTTACCTCTGCAATCCTAGCATTCGGAGTATTGTTTTTGGAGTGCTGTAAATGACCTTAGGTCAACTATGCCTAGTAGATATTCCAGTAATCAATATGATGTGAAAGCCAACTTGGTCACAGTTGACTCGTGACTACATGTATATCCACTCTTATTAAGTGTTTTGCTAAAGATTGTGAGTCTACTCTTGGTTGTGATTCATCACAAATAATCATATCCAAAATAGTATTGAAACAGTCATCTTATAAGGTCTTCGGGTAAGATTATGTAATTCACTCTTCGTTGTGATTCATATAGGCTTGGACTCGTGCTGGTTTGGGTCCTGGCTGGACCTTTGGTTTATTTAAGGTGGGCCTGGGACCGGCCTGAGGTAAGGACAGTTCTTGTTCGGGCCTGGCCACTCGCCCTGGTCATGGGTTGGGCCACTCGCTGGGTTGTGTAAATCCAATTTTTTTTAAAATTATTTATACTTTATTGTTTTATACAAGTATTAAAAATAAACTTCAAGTTCATTTCTTTGAAATGAAATATGAAATAAAATATTTATACATTTGACAATTGAGAAAAAAAAAACAATATGAAATACTATTGAGAATTAAAGGTAAAATTAAAGCATGAAATACTAATCAATCTGAATCTCTGACATAGGTAGAGTCATCATCGGTTGTTGATTCATCCATAAAGTGTTGGGATGAGGTGATGTCAATTTGTTGAGCTCTACGGGTCGCCTTCAACCAATTGTGGTAGCATATAAGCATCTCAAGAGATTCTGCGCTCAATCTCGTTCTAGATTGTGTTAGGATATTGCTGCCCGAACTAAATTCTTGTTCTACGGCAATCGTTGAAACCGGCATTGATAACACTTGTTTAGTCATCTTTGCTAAAACTGGGAACATTTTTTTTTCCCTTCCACCACTACCCTAAATACGTCTGATCCACCCCTTGACTACCTCCAAATAATCTCCTAAAGCTTTTAGACCATTTTGCTTACATAAATTTATAACATGACATACACATCGTTGGATAAAAAATCTACCTATCAAAGAAGTAGAAACACACAATTCACGCAGTCTAAGAATAGCAGCAGTATTATTAGTAGCATTATAAAAACCAATAGCAAACACCTTATCAATTAAATTATAATCAATTAAAATATGCTCAATCAAAATATAAATATGTTCAGACTTTAGTGGTGTGACGATCATTAAATTCACGAAAAACAAGAACACGTTTATGCATATTCCAATCATTATCAATATAATGTAGAGATATTACCTGAAATAGGACTAAAACAGTTTGAAAATTCCAAAATAGGACTGCCATGTTTTTATTTTCCAAAATAGGACTAATTACTGTCATGTTTTGGCAGTACCAGACTTCAAACATGTCACTATTTTCTAAACATGACAATAATTAGTCCTATTTTGCGAATAAAAAACATGACAGTCCTATTTTGGAATTTTGAAACTGTTTTAGTCCTATTTCGGAAACTTTCCCAATAATGTAAAGTCAGACCCAAATAATGTAAATTATGATAAGTATCCTCCCATATGTCAGAACATATCGTAACACGCCCATCAAAGTTTGTAAAATAATTTTGTAACTTTACATTTTCCGCACCATAAAGCTTTGAATTTTTTTTCTTAACCATTTTGCGACTATAACCTCTATATTGAGGACTTAAACAAGTTTGTGCATAATCTTTGAAAGCAAGACTTTCAGAAAACAAATAAGACAAATTTTCTTCAACAAGTAAGTAAGTCATACCTGTCAAATTTTGTGCATCATTGTATGAGAAATTACCAAAAGGTTGTTGGTTATTTGCAAACCTCGATATTTGAGTTTGCTTTTCCGTTCCGCCGCCTAATTTTGCATACTCCACCGTGTGTTTGACCTGAAGATGCCTTGCGGCAGATTCATATCCGCCAGAATTCCCAAGCTATAATTTTTTCTTGCACCACTTGCAAGTTGCATTCCAATTCCCGGTCTTCGGATCCTTCCACTTATCAAAATTATTAAGCATTAGTTCAGATTTACTTTTTTCCCGTACCGGTTTGGGATGAGGCAGGCTCGTTGGCGTCGTGGCTCTCCGGAATTACTTCCTCCACATCATCATCCTCGAGCTCTTCTTCGTCAATGCTCGTCGGCTGGTCTTGGAAAAAGCGGCTACTATGTCGGTGCAATTCTTGTTCTAGTTGTTTGTCGGTCATCGCATCCTCATCTCTCCTTGCGTAACGCGTATCAAAATCATCTAGACTTTGAGATGAAGAGTCGATATGCGATTTACCTTTGCGGGATCTCTTCTTCCTCGCAAGCTCGTTCGTTTGGTTGCAGTCGAGGTTACCCATATCAACCGAATATCTACCACCTTCCATCTTTAAAATGTAATATAAGTAATATAATATATTACTTATATAAGTAGATAATTAATATATACTCCGTAAGTAGATAAGAAATACTCCCTCCGTCCCTTAAAACTTTGCCGAGTTTGACCGGCACAGGGAGTAATAAAGTAATAACTGTGTGGTTGAAGTTTGTGCAGAGGAGAGAGAATTAACCGGAACCACAAATTATTTAGTTAAATGGGAAAGTGGCCAAGTTAGTGGGATATCAAAAAAAAGAAAGTTGTCAAAGTTTTAAGGGAAGAAGGCAGTATAAGTAATATAAATATATGTATTTATAAGTAGATAAATAATATAAGTAGATATATAATATGTCGGAGAATAAGAGAATTTGAGAAGATGAAGATGAAGATAATTAGAGAGTAGGATTTAGGAAGAGTTGGAAAAGAGATATGGAAAAATGTTTAAAATTTGAAGTATTTATAGTTTTTTTTACCCTACCCTCCCCCACCCCCCAAACTACCCGGACCCCCTGCCAGCCCACCCCAAACGGCTCTATTGGCCCAAATACATTTTTTTTAATATAGCCGTTGTGACCCGGACCCGGGCTCGACCCGGCAGGGCCGGGTCACGTTTTCCTGAAACCGAGCCCCCCCCCCCCCGGTTCGGGTCTACACCCGATCCCGGACCGCCAGACCGGGCCGGTCCCGGGTCCGCACAGTAGCGGGCCGGGTGACCCGAACCGAATCCACCCCTACATTCATACATAAGTACATAACAAATAATCAATAACCAAATATAGTAAAGAAACAGTCATTTGCATTAACCACTCTGTTCTGAATTCAAATAATATGAATAAAAATACTGAGAATGTTTTTTTGAAGTTAAAACAGAGAATTGGTTTTGAAGGACCAAAGAAAGTTATTAACAGAATAGGAGAAGGTAGTATATTAGCGAATATGTGCATCCTGAGCACATGCATGTCAAGGCTTCAGTTGAAACTATTACAGCCATAGATAGATGACTAAGGCTATGTTTCTTATTGCTTAACTTTTTGAAAAGTGTTTTTTGGAAAATTGATTAATAATAAAAGGTGATGAATATAACTATCCTCCAAGTTGTATTTATTTACCATTAAACCTAAAAAGCAGATAAAGTCAGGGTTGAAGGTGGTTTTTGAAGCTGAATTTTCTCTTTGCAAACACTCAAAATAGATTTTTTTAATAAACAGCCAAAAGTGCGTTTGTGAAGCAATGGAAAACACGGCCTAAAAGAACATTTATACTCCGTAATACTTATTCATCTTTAGATTTATTATTATAATAACCACATACACTAGAATCTTAACAAGTAATCATGAAGTACGTAATTATATACAGTTGCAATTACATGCATATGCACATTTCCATAACTGACGCATTTGTAAAAATTCATGTTTACAAACTACAAACTACATCAAGAATAGTATTTATAACAGTCAATTTAGATGAAAGTCAACACGTCTATTGAATGAAGAGTTCACATAAATTAATCAACACACTTATTTCATATGCATTTAATGCATCCATTCAATTAATCATTTTATATTTTTATTTTTTTTGTAAATTACCAGGAGTAGACGTTTTCCCCCGTTTTAAGTGAACGAGCCTTATTTCTAGTTGTAATTTTTTTATTCATTAATTAAAAAGGTTTGTTTACAACGAGCTGAAAACATAATTAAGCTAGGATTTATATCATCATAATACAATATAATTTTAATCAAGTTATTATTCTACTGTAAACATACTCCCGGCATGGCACACAGATCGTTTGTCTAGTTTGATAAATAGGAAGATTGCAAACAGAAGGTTGTGAATAATTTTTTTCAATTGCCTTGCCTTCTTCAAGCCTCCTGCGCTTTGCATGGCAGTTTTTCTAATAACTGTAATTTAAATATTTAAGGTAATTTAATTTATTTTTATTTAATTAAATGACTGCCAGTAATATTTTGGAGCTGTGAATAGGAATTATCAAAACAGAAGTAGCACACTACTAGCACCGGAGGTGTGGCCAAATTAACGAACGAGGCCCAAGTTAAGAACGCCCCATGCATTTTCAGGCCAAGACATGTCACGGGCCCGCATGACCAACACTCTGGCCCAAGAAATCCAACCTTCCCAAGACATTCTCTTGTCCCAAGGAGAGCCCCACTCCAGTATCAGAGTCAGCCCTTTCGCTGCTTCTAGCCCACCCTCTTCGAACCTCCCTAGGCTCAAATAAATCTGGCCCAATACAACGTGGGGCTCGCCCACAAATGGGTTCTTCTCGATGCTCTCCTTCAGCCGTTGTTCGGCCCAATCTAACCCTTTCTTCGGCCCATCACACACCGCCTCCCAGTACAGCTCCCTTGCCAGTATCTGGTCTCCGGCGTCGAGAAGTTTCGTGCAGAAATTGAACACCGGAGGGACCACAAGCTCGATATGCTCATCTCTGACCGGTTCTTCCGGTAAACCGGTTATTCTCCTCTGTTCAACGTAGATTTCTTCTTCTCGGACGATCAGGCTGTATATTGCGCCCATCCGCGATACTGAATTCATCCAGAGTCCGGGTTTCCCGTCGCCTGGCCACAAGCCGGATCTGACATCGTTACCGGAGAATTCGAGCCGGCCGTCGGAGTTCTCGAACAGTACGTCCTGAAATACGAATAGCTGATCGCTGAAATCCGCCATGGTCATTAGCAGGAATATCGCGAACACTCTTCTCGAAAGGAGGACGGGATCGCCCGATTTGATGTGCTTAGTGAGGATCCCGTCCGCCGGCACCACCGATTGCAGTTTCTTCCTCCATGCCTCGTCGTCGTTGAACTTCCCCTTCTCCTTGGCGTTCTTCAGAGAGGCCTCGGAAAGTCTAAGGTGCTCAACGATTTCCGCGTCAGTGTACTGGAACAGGAGATCGTCGTGGATCAGGGGTTGACGAGGGACTACGCAGAAGAGATGTATCAGCCGCTCCGCCTCATCACCGACGTGGCCTCGGACGGTGTCGCGGCCAGTTGAAGGGTCGAAGATCGCGAGATTGACGTAAGAGTTAGAGTAGGCTGAGTGGAAGAGGCCGCAGAGGCAGACGGAATCTGGAGCCTTCCATAGTTTGAGTATCCGGTAAATGTCCACCAGATGTTCGAGGAAACTGCCGTGTTTATGCCAGCACTCTCCGGCTCCGACGGAGCGCAGAACGGCAACCAGAGAGGGTAGCTTCTCGTCGAGTCGCTCGAGCTCACCTCGGAGGAAGGGGCGGGCAGCGTCAAGGGCGGCCGTGAGGTAGTCGCTCTTCTCAGGAGATAGAGGGAGAGATGACGTCATGTTCAGTGTGGAGAAGATGAAGGGGACGAATCAAATAGGTGATTTAATTATGCATCCATGGCTTCATTCATTATTCATACAGAGAAAAGATAGATACGATAACGGAATCCCTTGGTTTGTTGCTTATTGGGTTTAGGGACTCTTGGGGGTTGTGGATTGAATTTTTGAGGATGAACTTGCGCACCTCGAAAAGTTGTTGGGCGCACCTCACTTTTTTCAAAACCGGACATATTTGTCCTTTTCCCGTTATTTGTTTTTTGTTGTTAATGCTCTTGTAAGTTTTACTTCATACGAGTATGAGTTTAGAGTTAATTATGTTCACAAATAGAACCAAAATACAAACCGTATGTTTCATAATCATAAGACATATAATCACCTACTTGAACATAAATGCCCCCATTCAATAATTATTTGAATTTATATATAAAAATGTAAAATAAAAATCTAATGAAACCTAAATTATCAACATGAGCTGTTCTGCGACTCTCGGTGTCGCTGCAGCCTGCCCCCTACCTTATCGGCGTCGCCTGCCGCTGTCCTATCGGTGCCGTTTGTCGCTATCTCATCGGTGCCGTTTGACGTTGTTTTGCCGGTGCCGCCATCTCGCTGGCGTTGCTGCCGTTGCTGCCACGTCACTGTGACAGCCGCTGCCACCCACGCCGGAGTCGCCCCAACCACCGTTGTCATCCTCCACCGCCACCGCCACCCATTCCATCACTACAACTCCAAACACCCATGAGAGTTAGATTTGGAAGTCACCACTGCAACTCTAAACACCACCATCACCTCCACAACACCAATGCCATAAATCTGCCATTATCTATTTCCTATTAGTTAGTCATAAAAAGTGCAAATTATTTAATGCTACCTATTAATTACCACACATTAATTTATTTGCTCACCACATTGTAATTTTCTAACGTGATAATAGGAGTCTTGAAAGTGATGTTATTTAGTTTTTTGTTAGCCAATGAGAGGATGCCACATAAGCTATTCATAACTCAGTTTTACTATATAAAATAATAGATTATAATCATTAAAAATTACCTAGTATCATTTTTGTCCATGACTTTTCAGAAGTAATATTAGTGGAATTATTTCATAACATAATTACCTCTTTAAACATGGCCAAAAGTTGAAGAGAGAATTTCCAATATGGGAGTTAAACATAGAAAATATGCAAAAATAGGAGTCCTATGAGTTACTTATCTGCAATGTTCATTCTCAGCAGAATAAGTCTCTCATCTCTGGTGACAAAGAAAAATATCAGAAGATGATACTACTTGAAGCTAGTACTAAGGAAGTATCCTATGCCATCCAAAAGCACCAGAGCCTGCTTGAAGGTCTGACAGCTGTCACTCAGACCCTTCCTGAGGCTATCGAAGCACTTGCCTCAGATCAAGCCACAGAGTTCCACAAGATTGAAATCCTTCTAAGAGGCTAGGTGGATGCCAAAAAGGGGGAAGATGACTCCCAACAGAAAAAGCTGCAACTTGTCAGAACCACAACCAGTGGCAGATCCAGGATAAATGTTTATTGGGGGCAGATCAGAGGTAAAAAAACATCAGGAAAATAATAAAAAAGTATTAATGTAATATTACAATAATTAAAATCTTAACAAAATAGATAACAACTGCGCACCCTGAATTTCGTCTTTTCGAAGAGAGGTCCATTACAGTTTTGTTTGCAACAATTCAAACACATCACTTTGAATAAAACATATCAGAGAAAAGCACTCAAATCAATCTTTGTGGATATTTATGAAAAACATTGAGAAACACTATTTGAAACATTATTATTTGAACTACCTATAGTGGTGAAGGAACGGTTACCCAATCTATTCATTGTGTATGGAAAACAACTTAAATTAAAATTAACTTATTAAATACATTAATACATTTTATTTAACTACTTAAAGTAATTTAGTATTTACATTTGAGATTCTAACCTATTAAATATTGCCCCCATCCCACTGACATTGAGATATGAGAATGTGACACGATTATTAAGAAAAATTAGTTTATGTTGTTGATATTGAATTGATAAAGTAAGAATAATGTAAAAATAATTTAGAGCCACACAAACTTTACCAAATCTGATAAGGAGTAATCTTAGTGGAATTTCCTGAAAAGGTAAAAGAGGATAATCTTAGCGCGATGGATGGAGTAACATTTTTTATTTCCTATTAGTGTAAAGCATTACACTATTTCAGTAACTCATCAATTAGCTAAATCTAATTGATCATTCTAAAATTTTAAATTTGTTGATGTAAATAAATAATCCTATACTAAATTAATAACATTATAATCATTTAAAGAACATTATATAATATGTATTCCATATATAAAAACTAAAAATTAAACTATACAATACCGCACGCCACCAACACTCCAAAACTAACATCTTGATTACGATAGCAATTGATAAATGATGTAAAAGTAAAGCGAAAAGATTTATAGTCATTAAAGCCAAATAGCGTGAAAAGGCTCATGCCGCTTGGAGAATGAAGAGGCTCAGGCGTTCATGCGTTCAACCGTTGTGTTGCTGTGTTGGCTGGACACTGATTTACCCTCTAATCCGGCCTTCTGCACTCACGAGAGTTTGGCCGCCTCTTCTCGTGTTCCATCATCCTCAATTCCTTAATTTGGAGATTTGGCCTTTTCTGAAATCTGAATTTCAGATTTACAGAACTTTCAATGGGGAGGACTCGATGAACTTGGGTTATAGGGGGCAATTTATTTTTTTTAATTGGGGGCAAAAACTTACATTTTTCATATTTATCAAAAATTACAAGGGGTTAGAGAGCCTTTATTGGGGGCAGCTGCCCCCACTCATGCCTTACTACATCCGCCCCTGACCACAACTTTTGTTTTCCTAGCACCTTACTTTGAAGCTGCCATTCAGAAAAAGAGAGCAGCTGGCATATCTATGCCCTTATCCCCTCCTAAGAAGACCTCTTAAATCTCCCATTTCTATGGTCTCTTAAATCTGCCAACAAAGTTAGCAAGTTTATCTTGGAAGAATAACACAAAACCGCCATAAATTAGGCAAACATATGAACTCAACAACCAAATATTCAAAAAGTATATTTTTCAAAGGAATAAACATTTTATCACAATCAAAAATCACAAATACGCAACTAATGACCAAAAAAATAAAAAACGATTTACACCAAATCTATTCTGCCATAATCGATTGTAAGTGCACATATTTCTGCCATAAATTTGGCAAAATCTTATGCCATCATCCTGTATTCCAACAAATAAGGTTTTTTTAAAGTAAAAATCGGAATCGGAAATACAAAATAGAGGTCCAAAAATCAGCCGATTGAATGCCAAAACTCATAAAAACACAAGAATATGAGTAAAATCTGAAAAATCAATGTTAAAAATCAAAATAAGAAGAAGAAGAAGTAGTAGTATAATAATAAGAAGAAGAAGAAGAGGAAGAAGTAGGAGGAGAAGGAGGAAGATGAGAAAGAGAAGGAGAAGGGGAAGAAGTGAAAAATCTGAAATTCAGAGGAAAATAAAGACGATGATGGTGGAAGACGAAGGCGATGAAAACAGAGACGAGAGCGATGAAGGCGGAGCGGCGAAGGTGGCCTGTGGCGAAGGTGGAATGCGATGAAATCGGCAAATCCGCGCAAGGGAGAAGGTGAGATAGATGCGGCTGCGGTGAGCCTTTGGTCGTGTCTGGAGAAAGCAACGATCAATTTTTTGGAGAGGGAAGCTGCTAGAAAGGGGTAAATAAATGCAAGGGTGAAAATGGGATGCTGATTTTAGTATGTTTCAGACAGGGGCGGATCCAGGATGGAGAGATGTGGTGGGCTAAGCAGAAGTAATTTTTTTTACTATACATACCAAATTAGCCCAGGGTTGTTATCGAACAAAGATTTTTTTGAATTATATACTCGAGTTCGAGCTTGATTTCGAATCTAATTTAATGAATTGAGTTTAACAAGTTTCGAACTCGAACACGGAGTAGGTTTTGAGTTTGAATAATTATTCAAGCCGAGATCGAACATAGTGATGTTTCGATCCGAACACGAGCCTATCGTTCACATATAAATTATACTATTGTACATATCATAAAATTTAAACGTTTTAGTGCAATTTTTATAAATTTATTAATGATTAATAAAAATTTGAATACTTATTGAATAATTTGAACATGAATCTATTAACGAGAATAGTCTAAACTTCTACATTCGAGCATGTCTATCGAGCATTGAAATCCAAATTTGAGATAGTTTGGATTTCAGGGACTACAACATGTGGAAGATCCTCATTGACTAGATCTTGCACTGTTGTAGGTATAGGTTCAGAACTCCCTTCACCAGTTTGACGATTCACTTTCGAAAAGAATGATGAAATCAACTTCTTTCCCTTCTTGGCAACATGTTCATTATCCATTCTAAAAAACATTTTCAATATTGGTATATATTAAAATACTTATATATAAAAAATAAAACTATTTAATTATGTACTGAAAAATTCAATTAATAATCAAAACGATTGTATGATTCCCTAGCCCTAAAACTCTAAAATGCTAAAAATAATAATTATTAATACATTAATAGTTTAATACACAATCGGTTAATCACAATTTACAAATTCACGGCAGAAGTTCATAACTTCACTGATTCACAAATTATTTGTGGGATGGGCTGACAAATAATTTAGGCTGGGCTGAGATTTGAAAATGTACCAATACTATTAAAAACGTGAATATGATTAGATTAGTCCTATTTGAGAATAAAAACGTGAAAGGTTCTATTTTTGAATTTCAGCCAACTTTTAATCCTATTTGGTTTAATTTCTAATCAGTTTATTCCAAAAAGTAGACATGTTTGGTGGAATGCTCTCCATTGATTTTTTGATAGATTTTAGGAGTCCCTTTAGTAATGATAAAATTAGGTGAATCTGCTGATCATGCTGAAATTTTTGAAATTGTGGCTCGATTGATTGATTATGCCGATTTATGAAAAACAATATATTTAAAAACAAAGTATCTTGGAAGAATAACACAAAACCACCATAAATTTGGCAAACATATGAACTTAACAACCACATATTCAAAAAGTATATTTTTCAAAGGAATAAACATTTTATTACAATAAAAAATCACAAATACGCAACTAATGACCAAAAAAATAAAAACCGATTTACACCAAATCTATTCTGCCATAATCGGATGTCAGTGCACATATTTTTGCCATAAATTTGGCAAAATCTTATGCCATC